GAAAGACGACGTTGGGCCGTATTGTATACTTGCTTTGTGGCCCAATTTCATTAAGTCTAAAGGTAAAGGATTTAACCGACCATTTAACGTCTAGCGAGTTCAAACAGTTTTCATCATAAATAACTAAAGGTAAAAATTGAAAGAATGCTCATTAAATATAATTTATCAACTGAAACGTCTTTTTCGTAAAAGAAATACCTTTCCGAAAAACCCACAATTTTCTTGATGAAAACTCATTAATTGATACCCAATTATGGGCAACAAAAATTCAATACTCACACAACCAAGAATAAAGCTATAAAACATAAAAACGGGAAACATAGCTTTAATCAAGTCTTAAAAGCAATTAACTCACACGTATCCTTGGAAGGGTATAAAACATATAGGAAGATGATGGGGGAGACCGAATTTACCATTAGTTGTGACAACATATAAGTAAGCCACAAACTAATATTATGAGCTGCATCACTTTAGGTATAAAACCATAGATATTAACCCAAGCCAGTCATTTAGTCAATTGTGATCGAAAGCTCGTTCACTCGGATATTACATAATAATCACAATGCCTATTTCTAAGCTACAGTAAGAGATGAACTGAAAATTACATAATAATCACAATACTTATTTCGAATAAAAACAAAAGGAAACTCAAGTTAAACTCGTTCACTTGAAAATTACATAATATTAAGGTTTAGGCTGTGAGGGAGAGGAATGGCTAGGGTTTAGGCCGTGAGGGAGAGAAATGGCTAGGCTTTAGGCCACGAGGGAGAGAAACGACTAGGGTTTAGGCCGTGAGAGAGAAAGGGGAATTGATTAGCTCTGATACCATGTTATTAATTCAATTTCCAATTGAAAAAACCCCTTTCTCATTAATACAATAAATAAATAAATGCAATGGCTGGATCCATACATACAAAATAATGGGCTTTACTAAAATACGAATCAGAGCTATACACGTTAATAGTAGCACGTTGACGACTTAATGTTGTTATTTGAACCTAATTTTGGTCAAAACATAATATTGAAAATATAAAAATATGTTTAATGTTCATCGTTTGTGATTAAAAGATTACTAATGGGGTGGTTTAGTTAGCACATAAAAATAGAATTCAGTGGCTAGATGAACATTGTAAGACCCGAGTTTTAAAAACGCATTCTCGTTAGCTTACCCGAATTGTACCGTATTTAAAATAACGGTCGATAATTATTGAATGGTTAAAACCGTCAAATTACTAAACTTATTATAATTATAATATATATATATATATATATATGAGTAAAAAGAAAAAAAATAGAACCTACATGCATCGTCTTCTTCATCGACCGCCATTCTCGCTTCTCATCTCTCTCTCTCACTTCTTCTTCTTCTCTCTAAGATATCTTGCAAACTGTTGAAGGAA